CGTTTAGTAAACTGTGGACTAGCTTTGGCTCTTCCTGTTGACTTGAATGGTGATGCTTCCCGTTTGTCAGTTGATGGCCTTTCATTTTTAACTAGAAATGTGCACGCTGCTTTTCTGATGTTCACTGAAGTTTTCCGTGTCTTTTTCCCGTGTTACTTGAAATGTTTCCGTTTTGAATCGTTGTTACCATAGGCGAGACACGTGAGGAAAAAATAAACGATCACTTGTGGGACTATATTCTGTCATAAATCGCATACCATTCATTGTTGAACTTTCTACCATCCGTTACTGGAAATGAAATTAAATTACTGGTTGATATGTTCCGATCTCAATAAAGTTTACACACGCTTTTGGTCCGTGAATTAGGCTAGATCTCGCTCGGGACGCGCGCTGTCAGAGTTTGGCCAGGACCGGTTCCAGAATTAAATCAAAATATTTTATGTTCCGTCCATTGCCAATCCCTGCTATTTCGAGAGTGAATCCCGCATAAATATGCGGATGTAATTCCCGTGATCTTACAAAGTTCCGTTATAATCAATGAAGCTCTCTAAACTGCACAATGAATCTCTTATTTACATCGCGTCTGCACTTAGTCAGGAGATGATTCATGAGCGTGCAAAACTGTGGCGCTTTCAGCGGTGAGTGAATTCTGACAAAACGTTTCTGATTGGCCATTGCGTTTAAGAAATCACCAGATATGTCTATAATTGGTTACATTGCTCAACGCTGCAAAAACACGTTGAGGGTATTTAGCGCTTGGCTAAGCGCTCCAATTGCAGCGGAGCAGACATCAGGGATTCCATGACTAACAATTTGGGGGTTTAATGTCTCCCATGTATATGTGTGTATATATAAGTATGTGTATGTATGCGTGTGTGTGTGTGTGTGTGTGTGTGTGTATATATATATATATTAAATTTATGCATTTAGCAGACGCTTTAATCCAAAGCGACTTACAAGTGCATTCAGGCTATACATTTTTTACCAGTATGTGTGTTCCTTGGGAATTGAACCCACGACCTTTGCGCTGCTAACGCAATGCTCTACCACAGGAGAGTGCCACAGGAACATATATATATATATATATAATCTTGTCCAATACTGTCACCTGATAGACATGATTCCTTGCCCGTGTAATTTTTGGCTTGCTGAGTTTTGGTTTTAAGATAAATTAATATTCATTGATTTAACTGCACTGATATTACCTGATGATAACAAAATTTGAACTGAATTAAGCTGGATAATTACACTAACTTTGAAATACTGAATTGAATCAACATTGAACATTGAGATGAATGACAATTATTGCCTTACAAATGACACCGTTGCCTTCTGTAAAGGTGCTTATAGCTGAATTTAACTTGTTTCAATTGATGAATTTTGCAAAATTGACAGGGTTATTTTAGTATAATTTAGATACCATTATAGTTTTTATAGATATTTTGAATTAGTTTTTATTTTATATTTTCTGTTTTAGTAATTTTATTGTGTGATTGTCATTTTCTTATTTAGTGTATAGTCTAAGACATATTAAATGTTATTTATTTTAGTACATCAAAATAAACTAAATGAAAATGAAAAATGTTGCCTTGACAACTTTAATTTCTGTTAAAATCTATTTAAATTTCAAGTAACAAAAATTGTTTTATGGTTATAGTTTGCTATAAAACACTACACGGACACATATTGAACTGAAACAACATGAAACTAATTTGCGTTGAATAATGACACTATTTTTTTGAAGAGCTGCTTTGCAGCTAAAAATTGAATTTGTTTCATAATTGGTGAATTTTAGAAGATGAACTTTTATGTTCTTGTTTATAAGTTGCTTTGAAACTGAATGTATTGAAGTTCTATATAAATAAATGTGACTACATTATCTGTCAGTGAGCTCATACTTACGATGATAAACTTCTGTCTCTCTTTCTGAAGTTTCAGAAACTCCTCCACAGTCAGACTATCCACAGTCTTCTTCAGCAAGATAAAATCACAGGTAGGAGAATGTGTCTTATGCTCTTTCCTGATAATGCAATAAAACCACAGTGCATCAGGAACAAAATACATAACAAGAGAACTGATGACATTTAATAAATCAAATAACCCTGACTTTAAATCCGAGTCTTAATCCATTAAGTTACACAGACAAAGCCTCTCTCAGCTCTCAAATGCAATAGTGGAAAGTTTAACAGACACGGACTCACTCAGGGTCATCCTCAGGTTCCCATCCTTCCAGCTCTTTCAGACAGAAGAAACACTGCGCTGTATCTGGACTATTCTCCCACGGGGTGTGAATAAATCCAGCTTTGGCCATCTATATAAAAAAAAAAACAGTGTAAAAGATGAAAACACTGCAAATTTTTTTTTTCAATCTTGACGGATCAAAGGGTTTACTCACGTTTTCTGGAGTGCAAATGCAGCCCTCTTCAAACGGCCAACCAACGAATGTTTGAAGTCTGTTCTCATAAATGTACATTTTAGTCTGATCGTCACTACTAAGATCCATTTTCTGGAATATGGAGAGTAAAATAAGACAGAGGACCGAGACACACGCTTGGCTTGCTTGTTGTTGTCTGTTTTCCAGTAGTTTAAAATTTAGAGCGCGAGTTTTGATTGGCTACAGCGGGTCGCTTCCACGCATGCGCAGAACGAGAACATCCTACATAACCGCATATGTATACATTAGAACTATTATATGTAACATTATAATGTTATGAATAATATAATATTAATAATAAAGTAACTTTCATTTGATGGAACACATAATTTACTCTCTCTTTTTTTGCACAGAGATTGTACTGTGGTTTATTAGAGCTCTTTAGTGAATTGGCCAATATAGTGTTTGTGTCTTGCTCATAAGTGTTAAACGTTTATAAGGCACATGAGACCTTTTCATGTTTTTTAGCAACTGTTCACAATACTGAAAAGAATTTCAGTAGGATTATGTTGTATCTTTACCAAAACCGTTTTCTTCATTGTATATGATCGCATAGAGAACAGTGCACTGTTGCAAACTTTGGGAATCCTAAACAAGCTATATGGACATGTCAGTTACATTATTTAAATGGAAACTGGTTACCATGTTCTCTGT